GGGGGGGGTGACAGGGATAATTTGGGGGGATTTTTCAGAAGTGGGGGGTGACAGGGATAAAATTTTGGGGAGGGGATTTTGCAGAAGTGGGGGGGTGACAGGGATAAAATTTGGGGGGATTTTTTGCAGAAGTGGGGGTGACAGGGGTAAAACAGAAGTGGGGGGTGAGAGGGATAAAATTTTGGGGGGATTTTGCAGAAATGTGGGGGATGACAGGGGTAAAATTTTGGGGGGATTTTGCAGAATTTGGGGGGGATTTTGCAGAAGTGGGGGGTGACAGGGATAAAATTTGGGGGGGAATTTTGCAGAAGTGGTGGTGGGGGTGACAGGGATAAAGTTTTGGGGGGATTTTGCAGAAATGTGGGGGATGACGGATAAAATTTTGGGGGGATTTTGCAGAAGTGAGGGGGTGACAGGGGTAAAATTTTGGGGGGATTTTGCAGAAATGTGGGGGATGAGAGGGATACAATTTTGAGGAGGATTTTGCAGAAGGGGATAAAACTTTGAGGGGGGGATTTTGCAGAAGTGGGGGGGGGTGACAGGGATAATTTTGGGGGTGGATATTTTGCAGAACAAGGAGCTGAAGAACCGCCTGGCCAGCTCCGAGGGGCAGCACCGGCCCAGCACCAACGTGTCCCAGCTGGAAGCGCGGCTGGAGGAGCTGCAGGACCAGCTGCAGGCCGAGGAGAGGTACCGTGGATATTCCCAATTTTAGGGGTGTCTTCCCAATTTTAGGGGTGTATTCTCTTCCTGGGAAGGGGTCCCACAATCCCTCTGTTGCTGTCCCACAGGGAGAAGAACGTCCTGCTCTCCTCCAACCGCAAGCTGGAGAGGAAGGTGAAGGAACTCACCATCCAGATCGACGACGAGCGGCAGAACGTCACCAACCAGAAGGACCAGGTTGGGCAGGGATGAGACCCTTAGGGGGCTGCTGGAGGGCTCAGGGAGACTTTTCCCAGCCCTAATTCCATGGATTTACAGCTGAGCCTGCGGGTGAAGGCCCTGAAGCGTCAGGTGGACGAGGCAGAGGAGGAGATCGAGCGCTTGGAGGGGGCGCGGAAAAAGGCGCAGCGGGAGCTGGAGGAGCAGCATGAGCTCAACGAGCAGCTGCAGAACCGCGTCAAGGCGCTGGAGAAGGAGGCCTGGTAGGGAACCCTGGGGGCTGGGGGGGTCCTGGATCTGTCACAGGGGGTCCTGGATCCGTCACAGGGGTCCTGGATCCGTCACAGGGGTCCTGGATCCGTCACAGGGGGTCTGGATCCGTCACAGGGGGTCCTGGATCCGTCACAGGGGTCCTGGATCCATCTCAGGGGGTCCTGGATCCATCACAGGGGGAAATGATCCATCACAGGGAGTCCTGGATCCATCACGAGGGGTCCTGGATCCGTCACAGGGGTCCTGGATCTGTCATGGGGGGTCCTGGATCCATCACAGGGGTCCTGGATCCATCACAGGGGGTC